AAAATCTCTTTTAAAAAAGGTATCTAGGGCCGGGGAGATGGCTCAGTAGAAGAAGCGCTTCCCTGGGAAGTGCAATGGTCTGAGTTCAATCCCTGGTTCCATCAAAAAAAAAAAAAAGTATCTAAAGGAACTGGTAAGACTCCAGAAGCAGACAGAGCCTAGAAGAAAGTTTAATTTTAAGAAATAGCAACTGGAAGTGGTAAGAAGTATGTATTTGCAGTTTTAAAAGTTTTTGCTTGAGGGTGTTCAGTAATTTCCGCAGCAGAGGAGAATGGCTGTGGAAAGCCTCAGCCTTACTTTCTTATGATGACTAAGAACGGAGTTCACAATATAAAAAATATCTGAAAATTTAATAGGAGGACCTTATGCATGAGAAAACTCACAGCTGACTATACACCAGGATCTCTAGTTTAGCCTATAAACTGCATCTGCTTGGGGAAAAAGCAGGCAGAAATCAGAGGACCAGATGAACTCGTGAGTTTACTGCTTTTTTAACTGAGTCTGTTTCCTAACCACAGGGCACCCAGTGGCAGAAATGTGAAATCTTGTGTGCTGGAGATGCCAGAGGATACAATCTAAGGCTAAAAAGTTAGGAGGAACTCCCAAAAGCAACAAAAGCATGGCAAGAACAGAATCTAAACCTGAATATAATCTCTGGCCAGATTCTTGTCTTGTTAGCAAGTCACAGGCAGAAAAGGCAGCTGTAAAAATATGTAGAGTAATATCAGTTGTTAAACTGTACAGAAGAGGTGTGGCCTATGGAGTACAGGGACAGTTCCAAAGAAAACACAGTAAAATCCAGAGCCACATGATGTAGACAGAGTGTCCAGCAAAGGAACACAAAAGAGTAATACACTTGTGGGGGCGGGGGTGGAGATAATCAACAAAACCCAGCTCTGAGTCAACTTAAGATTTCTTGACTACTAATTCCAACATCTGAGTCAACTTGGAGTTTGTTTTTTTTTTTTTTCTTCTTCTTTTGCTTTTTTTAGATACAGGGTCAACTTGTAGTGAACCTCCTGCCTCAGCCTCCCCAGCACTGGGATTACAGGCTTGTGCCACCACGCCCAGTTTCAGGGCCAGCACAGCGTGTGGTACCTGGGATCAAACTTGGGTCCTTGCACTTGCCAGACAGACGGTTATGCTGCTGAGCTATCTCCCCAGCCCTGGGTCCTGCAGTTGGTTCTGTTGACTGCCTTTTCTCCTTGGGTATATTTCATGCTTTCCTGCTCATATGTTACATCTGTGTGTGTGTGTGTGTGTGTGTGTGTGTGTGTGTGTGAGAGAGAGAGAGAGAGAGAGAGACAGACAGACAGACAGACTACTAACTGCAGACTTAAGAAACTAAACTAAAACAAAAACAAGAATGAAAAGACTGAATCTTGCCTAATTAAGCCCTAGGTTCAATCCCTAGGAGCAGATATATACATAAATAAATAGATGAAAAGAAAATAAAAGAAAAACTGAGCCAAGACAAGTATAGCAACATGCTGTAGGGAAGTCAGAATCTGCATTTAAAGTACAGGTAAGTTACTAAAAATAATCAACAGCCCTTCAGAATAATAAAACTGAATCCAGAGTTTTTGCGTCATGTTACTTAAGATGTACATTTTCCAACCAAGTATTATAAGACTTGAAAAAAAATTAGGAGGACTGGGGAGATAGCTTGGCAGCCTAAGCACCTCCCTAGTATGGGGAGATGGTGAGAGAGACCTCATCTCAAAATAAATAAACAGGGCTGGGCTGTCATTCAGTTTAAAGGCCCTGAGTTCGGTCCCCACTACCATAAAAATCAATAAAATAACTGTTTTCAGTTTTACAGGAAAATGAGGTGACAGTTCTTTAAGTAGGGAAGTATCCCTAACCTTTTTTGTTCAGCATTGTATTAGAGGTCTGTATATTGTGATAATGCTAGAAAAAAAAAAAAAAAAAAAAAGAAAAGAAAAAAATACAATTGCTAAGGAAGAACCCAAACCGCCTCTATTTATAGAAGATCTGACTATGTAACTGAACACTTCCAAGGAATCTACATAAAATTTGTCAAGACTGTAGGGTGTAAGGCCAGCACACGACCTCTGTTGTGTTTGTATATTAGCAATGAGAAATTGGGAATTGGTGTTTAAAAGATGTATAGTATCCAAAAAACATAAAATACTTAGCAATAACTTAAAATATATGTAGCGTTTACATGCTCAGAACTACAAAACATTGCTGAGAGAAATTTGAAAGCTAGATAAATGGAGAGATGAACCATTGGATGGTTGATTGCTGTTGTCTGTACCCTGGCACCCTCCAGTCCCTCCGGAACCTCAGCATCTTGCCTTGTTTGGAAATAGAGTACTTATAAATATTAGGCTGTTTCTAATTAATGATCTAGAAATGAAATCATCCAATGTTTAGGGTTCTAAATCCATGACTGGGGACCACACAAGAAAGAAAAGGGACTTTTGGACACACAGAGGCAGAGAAAAGACCCTGTGAAGATGGAGACAGAGATTAGACGTCCATTGACACAAAGAAAGCCGAGAGCTTCTGGGAACTGGAGCAGGCAAAGAGGAGCCTCCTTAGTCCTCCAGAATTGTGAAATCTTTCTGTTGTTTTCAGCTGCTAAGTTTCCAGGTAATTTGTCAGCAGCTCTGGGAGACGAATATAACCATGTTCGTGAACTGGGACCTAGAATGATCAAAACAGTTTTGAAAAGGAACAACAAACTGGTGGTCTTAAAACTATTTAATTTTAAGACTTATTTTAAACCTATAGTAGGCATGGTAGTGCATGCCTGTAATCCCCACACTCGGGAGACTGAGGCAGGAGGATTACTGTGAGTTCAAGGCCAGCCTGGGCTACATAGTGAGGTTTTTTTTTCTTAACATTTCTTTCTTTTTTTTTTTTTTTCAGAAGGAGTGAGTTGTGTACAGGGGGGTTAAATGCTTATAGACAAGAAGAGAAAAAAAAAACAACTGTGCTAGAACCAACTTATTCATCATCATCCTCTTCATCCTCATCTTCTTCCTCCTCTCCCTCCTCCTACTTCCTCAACCTGCTCCTCTTTCTTCTTTTGCTTTTTTTCAGCCTTGACGACTCCCTTTTTTGATGCATCAGGTTTTCCTTTAGCCCAGTAGGCAGCAATGTCCTTTTCATACTTTTCCTTCAGCTTAGCAGCCTTCTTCTCATATGGCTGCTTGTCATTTGCTGCGGTATTATTCTGTATTTCTCCAAGTTTCTTTGCGACATCACCAATGGAGAGGCCAGGATGTTCTCCTTTTATTTTTGGGTGATACTCAGAACAAGAGGAAGGCCGAAGGAGGCCTCTTGGGTGCATTGGGATCCTTGAACTTCTGTTTTGTTTCTCCTTTAGGAGGAATATAAGTTTTTATTTCTCTTTTATAACAAGCCTTGTCCGCTTTGCCATATCTTCAAATTTTCCTTTTTCTTTAGCAGACATGGTGTTCCACCTCTCTGAGTACTTCTTAGAAACCCTGAGAAGTTAACGGAAGCATCTGGGTCTTCTTGTGCTCCTCTTGGCAAGTTTGCACAAAGAATGCACATGATGACATGGTTGCCTCTTGGCTTCTTAGGATCTCTTTTGCCCATGTTTACTTATTTTCCTCAGTGAGGCACAGAGTCGCCCAGTGCCCATCCGGCTCTCACTTGCCCCAGCGCTGTCTCTATGGAGCTCAATGTACTACAGTGGCTCTACATAGTGAATTTAAAGCCAGCCTGAACTGCATAGTGAAACCCTATCTCAAAAAGACATACATACATACATACATACATACGTACATACATAAAATAAAAATAAACCTATAGTAATTAAGGTCATGATATTGGTGTAGCAATAGACAAAGCTGATGGGCCCACACATGGATCCACATGTGTATCATCAGTTGATGTGCCAAAGGCAGTGTAGTGGGGGAAGGATAATTTTTCAATAGCCAAAACAATTGGATAATGACATATGAAAACACAAACTGTTGACTCCTCTTACACTGTAGAGAACAACTCAAAGTGGATCATTTGCCCAAGTTATAAAATTGCATAAGAATTGAATAAGAACAGGGGAAAAGTTGTATGATCTTGGTTTGGCAAAGATTTCTTAGGTATGTCACTACTTTTTATGATGGACCAGCACAATAGAAACATGGATTGTTGCTTCCCCCATCACGCTTTAGTTGCCCACCACCTTGGTTCCACTCAGTGGCCTGCAGCGCCTTCTGCCTGGCTCTGGCTTTCTTTCCCATCATCTTCCTTTGCTCCCTGCGTCTTCCCCTCTCAGTTCCAAGCAAACACATGACAATTTTCTTTTTTTCATTCTCTCACCTCAGCATTTTTGTGTGTGTAATAAACATTTTATCCTTTGAAACTCAGCTTAGAACTCTTCTTGTCCATGAAGCCTTTTCTTTTTGAAAAAATAGCGTCCTTAACCGTACCCCACTTCTCTCCTAGGAGCGCCTTTAGTCCCTTCAGATGATTTCTTTTGTGCATCATAACTTTCATATATGAAACATTCGGATTTATTATGTTTTTACTTCTCTTTCTCCCACCAGTTGTGAATAAAATGCTTAGTTTTATTTATATTTTGGATCCATAAGACCTGTTCCACCATAGGGGCTCAATATGGATTTATAGAATGATTTAATATAAATGCTCACACAAGGAACCAAAAGTGCACAGATAACATAGTTATTACCTATTTTGTTTTAAATAAAATTCTTCACTAAAAAGAAAGCCTGAGATTTGTTTCCATCCCTCCACCCCCTTCTGGGCATCAAACCCAGGCCTGTACCATGCTAGGCAAGCACCGTACCATCACCAAGCTAAACTCTCAGCCCTTATATCAGTTTTTAACACCAGTTGGTTTTGACTGTGACATAAATTTCTTTTAATATGTTTGGCATTTTAACATTTTTTGAGAAATTATTTAATGTGCTATTGGTTCATGAGACATAAACTGAGAAACTGTAACTTGCCTACTCATACTAAATTTTGCATTTCTTTAGGTCCACAAGGGAGTTACAAGTTCCAGTCTTTTAACTACAAACCTTACTTCAGAGATTCCTGGTTGGTCAAAGAATGTTTCAATGCAGCCTGAAACATCAGAGGATCTCGGTACTATGCTCAGCACTCAGCAAGTAAAAAGTCCTGGGAAAACCCAAACTGCCACCCCTCTTCCAGTGGCTCCCTCCTACAGTTATGCTACCCCTACCCCCCGAGCCTCTTTCCAGAGCACCTCAGCGTCGGCACCAGGTGACCCTTTGCTCCTGGCCTTGGAGATAAAATGGGAAAGCAGAACATTTGATCAGTGTCCTCTTTGGAAAGAGGAACAGAGGGATGGATGGCTTGAGTTCTGTATGTTAAGGAAAAAATATTCATCAGTGCTCTTGTAACCAGGGGACTTGGAGCTCTAAATCTCTTTCTCAACAGGTTCCCAGCCTGTGGAATTTTATGAGACTCATTTTCTTAGAGTCAGGTTCCACTGTGGCTTAAAGGCATGAGGTTCAATTAAGTAATGTTCAAGGAACGAAGCAGAAGCTGCTAGAAAGAAGAGTGGGATCATTGCACCTGTTTGCCTTCTGAAAGGCTGTTTGTAGTTCAGATTGTTTGTCTCTGATTTTTAGAGTGTCTTCATTTTTAAAGCAACCTAAGGGAGATTTACACACATAGTGTTACTTTAGTAGGTCTTTACTTCACTGGTGCTGGTCTAAGGAATAAGGAGGACATGATTAATCAGTGGTTGACAGTTAGCCTTGAAAAAATCGAAGCCAATAAAGGAGAAGTTTTTGCCAGTTTTTAATTTCCCAGGATCTCCTTTCGTGGTCATGTAAAATAAGATGTTATGGTTGCAATCCTGACACACCAAAATAATTTTTGTGTTCAGGTCGAATGCCTGTGATTTTCAGTGTAATTGTGAAGGGTTTGGGTTGTACTGTATTGATTAGTTTTTGGTTTGTTGTACTTTCTGTGAGTATAATGGTTTCTTTTATTCTTTTATTTTTCTGAAAGTCACTTCAGGGAGCTCTTATTCTATCTCCTGGGGCATCCAGAGGCTGTAGCTTCTATAAAGGATGGTTTCATTTTTCTCCAGGTGCAATGCTCCAAAGGAAAAGCAGATAAATCTCAAGTTTCATATTTATCTAGGAAGCCCTTCTCACCTCCTGGTCTTGAAATATGAGCTGCCCAGCCTCTAGTTTGCTTTAAGCCCTCTTGGTGTTGAGGTCTCCTACAAATGAACAGTTACTGTCAGAGAAGAAATGAGATTCCTATAACCAATGGTTCTCCATGGTCTGCATGTATTTTTAGTTACATCCTGGGGGTGGAAGGGAGCCACTGACACCCAGGCTCCAGAGTAGACAATGACTTTCTTGTAGTACATGAGGGAAAGTTCATGTAACCAGAGGGAGAAATGGGTAAGAAAAGTGCTACAATGAGATTAGGTGATGGCGGTTTTCTAATGCCAAGGTAGGTGATTCGCTTAAACATGCTGAGGGGTTGGAGGTCTTAAATAGGAGAGTAGCATGGTGGGTATTTTAGAAAGACTAATAGTGGTAAGGTGGTAATTGTTTTAGGAAACAGAATAGACTGACATGGGGAGAGCTAGTAGAAGGGAGATTAAGATTCTTAGAATAAGCTAGGTGTTGTGGGGCACGGCTATAGTCACAGCACTGAAGAGGCTAAGGTAGGAGGATCTCTGTGAGTTCCATGTCAGTCTGGGCTACAAAGTACGTTCAAGGTCAGCCTGAACTGCAAAGTGAGACCCTGTCTCAAAAAACAAAACAAGAGCCAGCCAGATAGCTCAGTGGACTAAAGTGCCTGCTTGGGCAGTCTCAGAGACTGGGTTCAATCCCCGGTGTGCTGTGCTGTCCCTGCCCCCAGGGCACGCTGAGAGGGGACTGCAATTAGGCATGGTGGTGGGCTTGTAATCCTAGAGCTTTGGAGGCTCAAAACAGGAGAATCACTATGAATCTGATCTACATGGTGAGACCCTGTAGACCCTGTACTAAATACATAAACAAAACAAAACATTGTTGGAATAATCTAATTGTGAACAGCAAATCAAGTGTTGTGGGAGTTGTAATGGAAGGAAATGCATGTCCTCTGACATTTGCTTTCTTATTTATGTATCTTAATAAAAATATATTTAACAACATAGTCAGGTGTGGTAATATATGTCTCTAATCCCAGCACTTGGGAAGCAGAGGCAGGAGGATTGACACAAGTTCAAGGCCAGCCTGAACTACATAGCAAGATCCCACCTCAACTCCCCCCAGAAAGTTACTTATCAGAATAGAGATGATCCTTAAGATAGAATTTGAACTGTGGAAAATAATATGTAAGGAGGACTTGGGGAAATATCCTAGTTAAAATACAGTGCAGAAAAAGTCAAAGGAAAAGGAAGGAAAATAGATATGGTATGATGATTATCCAAAAGCTATTTCATTAAGATGGAGGTGGTGCAGGAGTAGAGGCCACCAAGGTGATGCGTGAGGATTGAGTCACATTTAGACTTGCTGAGAGACAACTCACTGGATGACCTTGAGGGATCCTTTTCAATGGGAAGGTGAAGGCAGAATCAACCTTCAGACAATTAGAGAGTAAAACATAATGATTAGTAAATGAAGGCAGTAGTTGAATATCGTTCAGGAAAAGAGGGAGAGACATGGTACAGTCCGGATTGATTTATTATTTTTCTTATCACTGGTATATTTGATTTGTTTCCAGAGGTAAAAGAATTGGTGGTGTCTGCTGGAAAGAGTGTCCAGATAACCCTGCCTAAGAATGAAGTTGAATTAAATGCGTATGTTCTCCAAGAACCACAGCAAGGTAAAAAAAAAAAAACAAAACAAAAAAAAAACAAAAAACTTTTACATTCAGATATCATTTCAGTTTATCGTGATATCCACATACCTCAGCTCCCTCCTCACAGTAGTCCACTGAGGATATGGGGTATGCCGGAGCATGATTGTGTGTGTGTATCTCTGTGATACAGTTGGTAATGTAATACAGAGTTCGAGATCAGGGGCAAGTCTAAACATGACTCAATCCTCACTTGATGGCAAGCCTGAGTGCAAATCCCAGTTGAACCAGGCACTGGTTGAATGATTTTAAGCAAATGACTTCTTTGAGTTTCTGCTTCTTAGAAAAATTGGAGTAACAGTTTCTAATTCACAAGATTAATTTGAGGTATCCATTGAAAGGGATCCATTAATTTATAAATGAAACAGTATATAAATCCCTTAGTTTAGTAACTACTGTATAGCTGATGCTCATCAGTTGTAGATCTTACATATTCAGTGGTAGTACATTCATTTTAAGAGCAAGAGTAGGGTGTGGTAGTGCATGCTTATAATCCTAGCACTGGGTAGGCAAAGGCAGGAGAGTCCTGAGTTCAAGGCCAGCCTGACCCTTGTAAGATCAAAAACAAAAAACAAAAAGTACAAGAAACTGAGACAGCTTAATCTGTTTAATTGGTCATTGTGTTGCACACCTGTAAACCTAGCTATTCAAGGGCTAAGGTCAGTTGATCACAGTTTCAAGGCCAGCCTGCAGTTTGTCTCAACATAAAAAGACTGGGAATGCAGCTCAGTGTTAACTGCACTTGCCCAGCGTGCACGAAGACCTGGATTCAATCAGAATGAAAGCAAAATCCCCCAATAGATTAACCTGTTTATTTTGGCCAAGCAACTAGTAAATAGCAAATGTAGGATTTGGAGAGGTTATTCAGGATGATGGCTATGATGGGTTTATCATTTAAAAGATAAACTCGGCTGGATGTAGTAGTGCCTGATAGTAATTCCAGCACTTGGGGAAACTGAAGCAGGAAGACTGCCTCAAGTTTGAGGCCAGCCTGAGCTGTGTAGTGAATTCAAGGACAGCCTGAACTACGTGAGACTCTATCTAAAAAAGGCTCAATGTGTGATACACAAAAATTCAGATTTATAAAATATAAATGAGTTGGTAGATAATTCACTATTTGAGGAAACCTTTGTAAAGTGACCACCCTTTCACCTTTGAAGGCTTTGTTATATCGAGGTCTGACTTACGAAAAATGCAGCAAGTTCTCTTAGGAAACCCTGTGATACAAGCAAAATTGGGAAATGGTCTGTTTAGGCTTATGTTGCTGGATGTGGTGGTTCATGCCTGTGATCCCAGGACCTGGGAGGCCAGGGTAGGAGGATCACTGTGAGTTTGACACCAGGTTGGGCTACAACATAGTGAAACCCTGCCTCAAAAAGAGCCCCCCCCCCAAAAAAAAAAAGTCACAATGTTTCTCTGCATTCAGGATAGCTTCTTTCATTTTAAAAAGACATGTTTTTAAAATTATATTCTTTATTTATACAAAAATAGTTCCCTAGAATACAAAGCCTCCTATAATCTGTATTTCTGCTCTCAGATTGAGATTTTATCAACTTATTTCAGCTTCCTTTAGAGAAGCTCTTTGCTTCCTTCCTTGGCTGGCAAGTTAACCTGAGTGGAACTGGTGGCCTTTGGGGTGGACAGGAGAAAGCTGCACTGAGCTGTGGTTACTTACACTTTCACTCTTTCGTGAAAGATCCACTGTGCTCTACTGCATTTTTTCTGACGTGTATTTGTGTACACTTTTCAGAGTTTCTGTCATCTTGGAGGTCAGTATTACAAATTATCAGATTTGCAACTCCCCTTTGCCCAGGTTCTTCAGCCTTAATCAGACCCGGAAGGTGATCTCAAGCTTTCCAAGGTTGGGCCGCTGGGCAGGGCCAACTGCCCTGGGGCAGCATGTTAGGATCCCGGCAGGGTCCAGAGGTCTGGTTTCAGAACCAAGTCCTAATGCTGTACAGTCAGCCTCCTTTCTAACACACCTACAGTCTGTCCTTCCTACTTTGGGCAGATTTCTTCTCGTAAGGCAACATTCATCTCCTGAGCTTTTCTGTCCTAAGCATAGTTTTTACTTTATTTTTTACAATTTATATTGATAGACTTAAGTCTTATAAAACTATCAGTTCCCCAAACTGATGTGAATCTGTTTTTCTGTGTGGGAAAATTTCCCAAATGCAGCTGAAGCAAGTGTCTCAGCCTAGGTGCTGCCTCTGCTGCTTCTTGGCTGCCCATCGGACCTGCCTTCCGCACCTGTGCATGTGCAAGCAGCCAGGGCTGACAGCTGGCCAGAATGGTCCTAGTTTGGTGGAGGAAGGAAGAGCTTGAGTCCCAGGCTCATAAAATAAAACTGGTCTCCAGAGAAAGGATCGCTTAGAATTAGGTTCTGTTTTTGTTTTCTGGTACCAGGGATTGAACTCAGGACCTTGCACGTGCCAGGCAGGAGCTTGTGCCAATGAGCTATCTCCTGGCCCCGGAATTAGGTTCTACATGCAAACTTTGATGTTTGAACACATGAAAAGAAAAAATATGACTGCCACTTGCTGAGCATTTGACATTCTTTTTTCTCTTTTACGTAGTAGTTTAAACTACACCTTCCCACCAAATTCTACCATTTCCTAGCCAGAAATTTTATTTTCTTTCTTTCTTTCTTTTTTAATTAAGACTACTTTTACTGGAGAGAAATTCTACTCTTGTGCTTCCCACTGATATCATCTGAGCTGAAAATGAGGACCATTTACTGCTTCATTTGGTCTTAATTAATTTCAGTGGGGCCTGTTTTAAATGGGCCATGCCCTGCCATCTTCTGCAGTGTGTTATTTAGCTCAGCAGGAATGAAGTAGCTCTTTTAACTCACCAGGGTGTGATGACCTCAGTGAGAGGAGCATTGTTAGCACTCTGTAAAAAAGCTATTTTTGAACCATGTTATTTAGAAGTCATGGCTGTTCTTTGTTGCAAAAGAAGTTTTGCGAGGAAATGGCCTTTGCTCCTAACAAGTTCATCTGTAGTGGTTGGTAGGGCATGTATTTTCCGTGAGGTGCCACATCCAAGCAGGCTGCTGTTGGTAGGGAGGGTTGGCCTGAGGTGGCAGGGACAGGAGTGAGCAGGCGAGAATTAGCAGCCTCAGGAGCTGAGTCAGCAGAATCCATCCTGCCTCCAGCAGACAGTGCGGATTCCTTGCAGGTTTTGGGGTACAGTCTTAAAGGCAAAGACCTTGTCAAGATTAGCAAAGATTTGTTATTGGCAGTCTTTTGTGTGTGTGTGTTTTCATGGTTTTGTAACGGCCCTTCTATAGGAGAAACCTACACCTACGACTGGCAGCTGATTACTCATCCGAAAGACTACAGTGGAGAGATGGAAGGGCAGCACTCGCAGTTCCTGAAACTGTCAAAGGTGAATTTGCTTCTTTTCAATTGCCAGGCTTAGAGAGTTGACTGTTTTCTTAAATGGATAATATAGAATTTTCTGTCCACATTTAAGTTGTGAACAATTTTCCGAAAGTGATTCCTCTGAAAGTCTGACTGGCTGACATCCAGTGTTTGTTGGTGCATGATTCTCAAATTTTCATTTATGGCGAGAAGACTGTACCAGCATGGTAGTGATAGCTGAAAATACACACTAAACAGATTTGAAGGGTAGCATAAGGATTTTAGAATCTGGGAGATAAACGAGGTTATTTGTGGCCACATGACTGTGTATGTGTTGGCTCAGTCCCTTTGGGATTCAGGATAGTTATTAAGAGCCATAAAAATGTTCGTGTTCTTGGGCCCGGCAATCTCATTGATTTATTCGTTCAGCTGCTATTCATTGTACAATGGTTACGTGGCTGCCATTTGGAATTACCAGAGAACTAATCATCTTAATGCTCAAGGACAGTAGAGCCTAGGTGACACTGACAGGAAGCAGGTAATTACAACACTGTCCTAAGTCAGTGCATGGGGTCATTGGAGGCCTGGGGAGTTGGATTTCTTAGAGTTTGCCTGCCTAGATCATGGAGGATGACTTCCTGAGTATGTGGTAGAGAGAAAATACCCCTAAGCTGAAGAAACAGTACTTGTACTGGGCCAAAAACAAGAGAGGAAGTTTTGGGACAAGGAATGATGTGTACGGTTCTACCCACCTGAGCCTCAGGTAGGATGAGAGCAGCAGCATAAGTGAGTTGGAGAGATGCAGGCAGGGGCCACAAAGAAGACTCTTGTATGTCACCAAACACTTTCAGTCTTGTGCAGAAAATAGGAAATCTTTGAAAGGTTTTAAAGCAGAAGATATAGTTCAGATTTTTAGTTTAGAAAGAATACCTTATATACAGATTAGAGAAGTTAAAGCTAAAAATGGGAAGATGAATAAGGAATCTATAGAAAAATTTAGAGGGGAAATATTATCCTGAGTAAAAAAGCTAAGTCAATAAAATTAAAATGAAAACCCACCTGTTGAACTTATACCATGCACCAGATGCAGGGATAATTGTTTTACTCAATTATTTGTTTTAATTTTCATAACATTCTCAGATATAGTTATTAATATCTATTTACCAATGAGCAAATTGAAAATTGAAAAAAAAAAGAAGTAGTTTGGTCAAAATTCACAGTGCTATTAAATGGTAGGTTTAAGCCCAGCATGGTGGCATAGGCCTGTAATCCTGGCTACTTGGGAGGGAGGCTGAGACTGGAGAATTGCAAGTTTGAGGCCAACTTGGGCAACTTAATGAGACCTTGTCTCAAAATAATAATGAAGGGCTGGTGAGATGGCTCAGTGGTCTAAAGCACCTACTTAGAACAAGCTTAGCAAAGCACAGGGACCGCGGTGCAATCCCCCAGCACCACATGCCAGCCAGCCCCACCCCCTGGTGGGCTGAGCTGGCCACACACACACACACACACACACACACACACATAAATAAATAAATAATATTAAAAAAATAATAATGAAAAGGGCTGGAGATGTAGCTCAGTGATAGAGCTCTTGCCTAGCATGTGTGAGACCTTGGGTTCAATCCCAGCACTTGAAAAAGAACTAGAGCTTTCTATCTCCAGCCCATGCTTTAATAACTGCTATGACGAGTGGTTAAGAAGTAAGATGATAGCAGTGTGGGTGAAGATGAATGAGTGGGTTTGCAAAATAGTGTGGAAGTCAACTTGATAAAATATGATGGTCAAGGTACTGGGTTGGGGTGGGCTGGGAAGAGAGGTTTAAGATAATTCTAGCATTTTGTCTTAGACACCTTAGGTGGACATGCACTGAAGGGAAGAGCATTGAAAGAGTAGCAGGTTTGAAGGTCAGGGGTAGAGTAAGCTTGAGGTACTAGTGAGACGTGTATGAAGCTGATCCTGTTAGATGTTGGGGAAGAAGAGCAAGAGACCAGGATAGGGAGATAAACATGGACATCAGCCTCAGATAGAAACTGATTTCTTAGAGTTTGCCATAGTTATAGGTGAGGTCAATTTGGGAAGTATATGGAACAAAGAAATAAGCAGGTTGAGGTTTGAGTCTCAGGGAATATTGTTTACTTAAGGGCTGGAAGGAACTGGAAGGAAGAGGTAAAGAGGGAAAGCCCAGAAGGACAAGCATGCCAAGGAGAAAGTGATAGAAACTGCTACATGTAGATAGTCAGTGTTTCACCAAAGAAGGTAATTGAAAGATAAGAGAGATAGACAGAGAAAAGAAAGAAAAAAAAAAAGAAAATTATTTTCCTGAAAGATTTTCCTTATAGCATTAATCATAATGGTGAAACTTAGGTAACAGCCCAAGTAACCAAAAATGTAGAAAGCTTAATTATTGCATATACTGTTTTTTTTTTTTTTTTCTTCCTTATTTGTATTTGGTACAGGGTCTCACTACACAAGTCAGACTTGTAGTGATCCTCCTGTTTTCAGCCTCCCCAGCACTGGGATTATAGTTGTGTGCCATCATGCCCAGACTCGGTGGCCTGCTCAGTGCACCAGGGTAAGGCTGGCTGGACATGTGGGATCAAACCCTGGTCCCTGGTCCTGCTGAGCTATTTTGACGGCCCTACATATACTATTCTGTAGTCATTAAAATAATTTTTTTTTTTGGTGGAACCGGAGAACTCAGACCTTTGTGCTTGCCAGGGAAGCACTTATTCCACTGAGCCGTCTCCCCAGCCCCTAAAATAATATTGAAAAGGCTTTATCATAGTAGGAAAAAGGCTCATGCTAATGAATAGAAGAAATTAAAAAAAAAAAGTGTGGTATTTTACATTTAGCTAAACCCTAAATACCCCTGAAATATGTGCTCCACAAAGATAGGGTCACCCCCAAACTCCAAGCTAAGGCAGTGACTGGGACATGACTGGTTTTCAGTACCAGTTTGTGCAACTAATGAAGCCTGTAAAACTATTTTTTGTATGTGGTCAAGGAGCAGGAGGAAACAGAAAAATATGATAAGTTGATATGTTGAAGTACTGAAGTTGTGGGTGATTTGGGTTTGTTTTTTTGTCTCTTTATGTTATGTTTATACATAGTAGAAATCGGGAGGGGAAAATATTCAGGTATTTGGGAACTATTTGGTATTTTTACAAGATGTTTTTCTTGAAGAGATGATTATTTTAATTTCATAGCTCTGTGACTAGGATGGTTGGGCTCTTAACATTCTTCTCAAAAGAAAATGGGAGAACAGAGAGATTGAAATCCCTTCTGTTGTTCCAGAGGCAGCTAGCAATAAGAGTCACATTAAAAGCTGTATTTCTTTTTAGTTTAACTCATTCTTTAATACCTTCAGCTAGTTTACATTTTCTGTTTTGAAATTAGGGCAAGAAAAGAGTGCAAGATTCAGCATGAAAAGCTTGGATATATATGTTGTCTTAAATGCAGTTGCTACTCTTTGTGGTTGTCTGAAAGGTCTTCTCTAACTTCTGCAGCTGACTCCAGGCCTGTATGAGTTCAGAGTGATAGTAGATGGCCAAAACGCTCATGGGGAAGGCCACGTGAATGTGACAGTAAAGCCAGGTATGTGTTTCCAGTCCGGCTGTGTCCCATTTCTCCCTTTGGCTCGTGAGGGAAACAGATTTGACTTTGGGGTTTTTAGTTACCCTTCTTTCTTTGTGATATATTTATTGGGCAATTCAGTTTACTAAAAGAATGTAGCGACAAAGCACGTACTTCTTCAGGCTTCCTAGTTAAAACAGTGGGCTGGGCAGGGGAATACCAGTTACTAGGCCCACAGTGCAGCAGGGTTTATGCTCTGCAGAACGCCAAGTGGGTGGTGCTCAAGAGGACCATGTATTGAAGTTAAGAGACAAAAAAGCCAGGAACACAGGAGCGGGATAGAGGAGGAGAGTGGGCCAGATGCCCAGCTCTTTCTGATCTCTTTCCAGAGATGTGGCCTTCTTACACAGAATCCCTCAGTAAAACCCTACTGATCTCCAACTTGGAAATCAAATTGATCCTCTTGTTCTTTTTAAATGGAAAATAATAATAGCAGGTATCTTGTTTTGTGTTTTCAGAGAAATTTGGAAGAAGTTGAAGAGTAGCTCAGACAATTACTGTTTTCTGTCTGTGCTAGTAATAGATTTTCTTTTCATTCCTTGAGCTGTATAGCCAAGATAATCTTCTCATCTTAAAAACATGACCACGGGGGTGGGGATGTATCTCAGGGCAGAGCACTTGCTTAGCATGAATGAAGCCCTGGGTTCCATGCCAAGGAAATAAGTATCAAGGTCAATAATTTGATTATTTCTAAAAGGCCACTGGGGTCACAGCTCAGTCATTCAGGTGCACCAGAGCAGTTTGCGGCCTTCCCTTCCCTCAGCTGTAGTTGCCTCACACACAGTCAACTCCGGGATGGCTGCACAAGCACTCGTTATCTTTTCAGCAGTCTGTGCCAAGGGATGGTTTGCTTGCCAAGGTTTTTGTTGTGCAAGGCTTTTTGTTCCCCATCCCTAGGCAGCCTGGCTTGGAGGCAGCCACTGGCTGCTATGGAATTTTTCACATGAGCATTAAAAGAATACACAGGATGTTGTCCTAGGAGTGGTGAGGATTGGAAGAGGCCCGTACAGCCCCAGGTGTCTCGTGTTAGAACTGCAGTCTGGTCTTGTGACTTTCTCGTCTGGCAATGCTTCAAATATCAGTTATATAATGGAAAATGATTAGTAGTCTACTCAGCGTTGTTGCCCCTCCCATACGTGTAAAGCTTCTTTCCACTCTCTGGGTCATTTTCCTGCAGAGCCCCGCAAGAATCAGCCTCCTGTTGCTATTGTGTCACCTCAGTTCCAGGAGATCTCTCTGCCAACTACTTCTACAGTCATTGATGGCAGCCGTGAGTATTGCCTAAGTGTGATGTTACAGAAACATTTACTGTGAATTCTCACAGAAACTCTGGCAGAAGATTTAGGGCCAGTCGTGTCTGCATTCTGCTTAGGCCAGTCTTCTTGACTGTTATGGGAAGCCTGGCAATTTGAAGCAACTGGTTAGGAAGTAAGCCGCCCGACAATCCTTATTTGAAAATCCCATGTGGTTTGTTTGAAACAGTATTTCTGCTGTGAAATGGTAAGAAGGTGGGATTATGCATACATTTATAATAATGTTAGTTGAAACTGGCTAATTTTCAGATTTTCTTGGATCAGGTTTCTTTTCTTGGTTGTAATAACCAAGCTTCTTGCTATCATGTCAAGATGAACAACTAAGAGCCCTGGCCTAGAAGCTCTCACTTGGGCCTCACGGCTAACAAGATTGTTGTCAGCCACCTGCTGCAGAAATTCGGCGGTGTGCTGCCGCTTCGCACGCTCCCTGGCCTTGCTAACATTCCACACTGCAGAGCTGTGTGCCCAAGGAATGGTGGGAGAGCGTTTCTGAGTCTTTGTTCTTGCTACTGGCTGTTCGTGTTCAGGTTTCAGGCCTGTCCTCTCACCAGGATTTGTTTGTTTTTTTTTATTGTTGAGATCCATTAAGGCCCTATTATTCTGACTGTCTTGGCACTGACAGTAGTTTTTGTCAGAGGCAGTCGCTGCTTTGGCAGAGGACTGTCGAGCAAAGTTAAGCATTTCTGTTGAAGGTTCTGGTAAGAGGAGAACAGCAGGCCAGGATGAAAAAGAGAACAGGAAGAAGTACTTGTCACAGGCAGTGGTAGGAAGGGTTCACGTAATGCTGTCTTATGGTATAGTTTTCAATAGGTTGATATTAAATAATATATAAAAATGTACAGTGAAAAGAATCATACCACCCCTGACTTTTCAGCTGTTTCTTCAGACCACCAATGATATTATTATTTTATATGTTCTTCCAAAGATATAGTATGCATATGCAGAAAACACATATATAGTATTTGTCCCCCTTGTTTACACAAATGACAATACATTGTATGCATTTTAATGTATTATACTTTATCTTTGAGAAGTTTTCAGAATCGATACATAAATTATTCATTCCTTCAATGATTATAAAGCATTCCATTATATGGATGTATAATTTCATTATGTACTTGTTTTTGATTTGGTAGGTTTGAGTATAATTTTAATTTGTGTTTCTTTTTGTGAAGTTGGGTATACTTTCATGTGTTTAAAATTTATTGATTCTCTTTTTTAATACAGTAGCATTTTAACCAGTGGTTTCATATGGTGGAGTCCTTGGAAAACTACACAGTGAAATATTCCTAGACAGGCAGATGTCCCAGTATTTCTAGGGAAAAACATTCTATGGAGAGAATCTTATCGTTTCCTGAAGTTTTCCTGGCTTTCACTCCCTGGGGGGTTGCTTTGGTTTGCGAAGTAAATTGGCTAAGTGTTGGGACCCGGAATTCTCGCATTGTAACTGGTGTTCTCTGTGGGCCAGAAAGCACTGATGATGATAAAATCGTCCAGTACCACTGGGAGGAACTTAAGGGACCTCTGAGAGAAGAGAAGATTTCTGAAGATACAGCCATACTAAAACTAAGCAAACTCGTTCCTGGGAACTACACCTTCAGGTAAATTAGAATTCAGCTTCCAGTTGACCATAGTGTGCCCCCACGTGGGTTTTACATGCTTGAAGGAGTGTCAGTTCCCTGTGGTGTTGCTTAGTAATCCAGGCTTTGTTCCACTGGTTCCCCAAGTCTATGGTTCTTGTGATTACAGCAGTGGCAGGACACAGCCCTTGCGTAACAGATCAGGACCTGCCACAGTTAGTACTTCTCAAAGTCTCGCCTGAGAGATCTCCAGACGTCTTCTAGGATATGTACATTGAGGGAAAGGGCCCATCTTCCTTGGATTTTCTCAGGCAGAATCTAGAAAAGCTCTCATTCTATCGCTTTTCTTTGGAAAATGCCTCTTTCCCTTAACGTGCTTCAAAAGTCTGTACGTGTGAGTAGTGGTTTACTTGGATCTGATTTGTAGGCCTCTCTTTAGTGGGTGCTTTTGGAGAACTTGATTAAAGAAAGTTGTCTGGGAAATTAGTATTGACATTTTAGAATGGGGTTCATAGGGCTTTACGGCTAATTCTAGTGTAATCCTCCTGATATCTGTATAATTCCTTTTATGTTCGGAAGCTCTTATATACAAGTCTAGGTAGAAATACTGTCCTCGTTGTATAGCTGAGAAAAGTGAAGGTGCTTGTACGTAGTGACTTCACCGAGATTCCACAGAAGTTAAAGTAATTTCCTAACCCCCGAGTCTACTTTGCTCGTTGACTTGATGCACATAGGTTTTGTTCCTTGAATGCCCTTCTCAATCTGTTGAAGTTCTGCCATCCTTAAATGCTTGCTCAATTTCCCATGAACCCCTTCAAGATCCCTCCAGAGAGGAGAGACCATGACTTTCCTTTTTCCCTGCTGTGCACCCTGCCTCATTGGTGCCTCCTAGCGTAACCCTTGTTCCTAGGTGTCTGTCTTCCTCCAGGCCTGAGATTTATCAAAGTTTAGACACCACTGGGGACACAGAGGCAAGCATTTTAGCACAAACCTCACTGTGTACATCAGTATGCAAGCTCTGACCTAGCAGCAGTCTCATTGACTCAAGATTTCACTTGAGTCTAAAGCACCTACTTAGAACAAGCTTCGCAAAGCACAGGGACCACGGTTCAATCCCCCAGCACCACATGTCAGCCAGCCCCGCCCCGGTGGGCTGAGCTGACTACACACACACACACACACACATACACACATATAAATAAATAAGATTTCACTTGAATGGAAATAACTTACCATCTTATAAGATTAGAGCCTTCTCACTGGCTTCATATGAAGACTGGAGGTGATTTTTTTCCTTAAACATCTAATATGGGAAATTCTCTACAGAATTTAGACTAAGTAGGGTTGATCCTTTTTTATTTTTATTTTTAATATTATTTTTTAGAATATCTGAAAATTTTAATCCTTTTATGGACTACTAGATCACTTTTTTTTTTGCATTTAGGGAAGGGTCTCCAGGGTGTTTGGGATCTCACTACTAGATCAGACTCATAGTGATCCACCTGTTTACAGCCTCCCAAGAGCTGGGATTACAGGCACACACCACCATGCCCAGTCTTAATTGCTGTCTCAGCATGCCCCAGGGGTGGGGCCAACAGGGCAGGCTCAGGGATCAAACCCCCATCCCCTGTGCCTGCTTGCAGGCACTTTAATATGCTGAGCTATTTGGACCCTTAGATCACTTTTGATTAAGAAAACTGTAGAAAGTTAGTAACCACCACAAGTGAACACCAGGTGGGGGCACTTGTCAATTTTGCACAGAGTCCTACTTTGCGGGATGTTGAGTGCATTGCTCGGAGTCTCTGCTCACACTTGCTGGAATCATTTGTGGCAGATTTTAGTCCACAGGCTGCTTTTCCCCATATTTCTTTGTAAAGTCTTCAACATTCTTACAGAATTTTTCACTCCTTAGAGTATTCTTCAGCTAGGTCAGCCCAGAGCAGGTGCTCAGGCCATAGGGACTGGATTACTTGGTCGGTCTTGGTCGCTGGCTTCCAGTTCTCATCACTAATTACCAGCAGGCAAACTTGCCCTTTTCCTCAGTGTTTGAGTGATAGATCTTTGTTTAAATGTGGTCTTCAGTGGTTTGAATGGATACTGTGCTGGAAAGTTGATTTCATTTCTAAAGGCCCCCTGATCATATGGAGAGTTGTCAGGAACAATAAGCCCCTGCCAAGTCAATAAGTTAGCTTCATCAACCTGAATGTTATGGAAGTTTTTCATCCCAAATTTGTGGATCTCTTCAAGCTCCTTCATCAGCCTCCGGCTGGCCGCCATCTTGGATCTGGTATTGCTGATCCTTTTTTTTTTAAATAGGATAATAACTGATATATTCTTGGACATTTATTTATTTATTTATTTTTTAATATTTATTTATTTATTTTGTGTGTGTGTGGCCAGCTCAGCCCACTGGGGGCGGGGCTGGCTGGCATGTGGTGCTGGGGGATTGAACCGTGGTCCCTGTGCTTTGTTTAGCTTAGCTTGTTCTAAGTAGGTGCTTTAGACCACTGAGCCATCTTACCAGCCCTGGACATTTATTTACTATGTGATAATTACTATTCTGAGCTCTCTGCTTGTGGCATCTCATATAGTCCTATGATCACTCTTTCTGCAGATTAGGACATTTTGGCACTTTGAGGTTAAATATTTTGCCACATATAGTCTGATTTCAGATTCTGAGCTTTTAAACATAATGAGTTGGGCATGGTGGTGCATGCTTGTAATCCCAGCACTCCAGAAGCAGAAAGATCATTGTCCCTATGAGCTACATAGTGAGTTCAAGGCCAGCCTGAACTATATTGTGAGACCCTGTCTCAAAACAAGCAAACATAGGGGCTGGCAAGAGAAAGAGATAACCAATCATCATTTCATCTATGCTGACAGCAAAATAATTTATAAATGAACACCAGAAACTCAAACATGTTAAGAATAATTTGAGATGCTTCTTTACAATAAATCAGAATTCTGGTTTCATCCTTCTGTTTAAGCACAATGGAAGGTTCCTTGTGAATCATTGATTTAGAAAAACAACAGTCATATATGTGCACACGTGTGCCCAACAGAAGCCAGTCTAAACAATCTTACAGCAGAGAGGCAGTTAAATAAAGCAGCATCACATGTTACGATTTTTTCCCCTTAATTTGGCTAGTCTGTAACATTAAACCTGCTAGGGACACTAGTTTCATATTTAATTTAATTAATGGAAAATATGTGATTTATAAAAGAACCAAAAACAAACAAGCAAAAAAACAAAAACAAAAACAAAAAAAACCAAAAAACCAATCAAACAGTGTTTGCTTCAGCATCACATATACTAAAGCAGGCAAGTAAACAAAAGCACAACAAAGCCCTCACCGTGTGAGCCTGTGGTTTATTGGGTGGATGGAATACTGTACTGGGTCAGTTCTTATCGCCTAGTCCTCCTCTTTAAAGTTTTTAATCTGTGACATGGTCAGAATGGATTGAATTTGCTGCGAGGTTTAGTCTGGTTGAGGCTCACATACTGTCTCCTTCCCCTGCTTTGGGTGATGGTAGCCTCTTCTAGCCCATAGTCAGCTGCTGTTGAGCTTCCGGATCCCTGCAGGCAAGCTGGGGACTCTTTGGGATGAAAGAACAACGGACAGCTGTCTTTTTTCCATCTGTTAACTTGCGTCGGTATTGATGTATCAGACAGTAGGGCATAGTAACACACCTGGGAAGGCAAAGGGAAACAGAAGGAGGTGGAACCCCTGTGATTGCCCTTTTCAGTACTTGCAGATATGTACACATGTGCGTGCACACGGTGTGTGTGTGTGTGTCCCAGGGTTTTGCACTTTCTCTCTAAAGGATGTGATAATAAACATTCCCTTTAAGCGAAAGGTGAAAAGGGAAGGTTGCGGGGTACATAAGGCCCCCCAGATGTCTGACTGTGCAGCTGGTGGTGACACTTAAACAAACTGCATGTCTTTTTTATGCCTTTCCTGTCAGCGAAATGGAATCATACCAAACCTTCTTGCTTGCTTGTGTTCACATTCTGCGGTGGCATGAGGAGCTTTAGGCTGTTCAGCTGGAAGGCATCGTTTAGGTAAAAGCCTGCTCTTAGAAAAGAACATTTTTTTCCCTCTTGCAAATCCTGTTTCTCACTGGCACAAACTGTGGGCCTGTTGCGTAGGAGAATTCATTTCTATCTCAAGCTCCTGCCTTACCGGAGCCAGCCCTCCTGGTCCATCCCAGGGGCTGTGTGCCCAGGATGCCCCTCCCTGTGACATGCAGACTGCTGAAACAGCACCGTGGGGGCCACCTGCTGCGGACAGAGTGTTCTGTGCAGAGCAGCACTGTGGAACTCCATGGAGCCAGGGGCCAGGGCTTATCCCTTCTTGAGATTGGGCTTGCATCTGGGCTCATGGCACCGTGCTGGGCAGATGACTTAGCCAGCCTCCTGCAGAGTGACTGATGGGCATATGCTTTGTGGCTGCTGTGAAGGTGTGCACCCACTTAGTGCGTGTGGCTGCCGGGATGTATTGCCTACATTCAGATCCCACATCCATACCCTCAGGCTGTGTGACCTTGGGCAAGTTACTGTACCTCTTTGCCTCAGTTTCCACATATTGCAAGGAGTCAGATAAAGATAGGACTGCGCAGAGCTTTTCTGTGGATTCGTTGAGCTACAAAGTACTCGGAGCAGTGTTTTCCACACAGGATCCCTCAGTCAGTGTTGTCTTCTGTTGTTACTGTCTGCTTTTGTAAGAGGAGTGGGTAAGACAGGTAATCCTGTTAGCCTACATTTCTCTAGTCTCGCTTTTCTAGATCTTTTCCTCTTCCCTCAAACCCATCGGTTTGTTGCTCTGCTCTTTCTGCCCTGATAGCCTGACTGTCGTAGACTCTGATGGAGCTACCAACTCCACCACCGCAAACCTGACTGTGAACAAAGCTGTGGACTACCCGCCTGTGGCCAATGCAGGCCCCAACCAAGTGATCACACTGCCTCAAAACTCTATCACCCTCTTTGGGAACCAGAGCACCGATGATCACGGCATCACCAGCTACGAGTGGTCCCTCAGCCCAAACAGCAAGGGAAAAGTGGTGGAGATGCAGGTAGGAAGGAGCGTTTCCTGTCTTCTTTGGCTCGTTTTTCTGCTGGATTGGGTCACCCAACCAGGGTTTGTTTCATTTGAATTACTGAAGTCAGATTTGCGCATTTAGATTTTTTAAAAATCCAAAAGACAAATCTAGAAAGTTTTAGGGACCTTGAGTCTTTGATTAATGTGTTAGCAACAGTCCCCCTCCCCAGTACTGGGGACCGAGGGACATTCTACTACTGAGCTACATCCCCACCTTACCTCCATTTTTTTCCTCTGTCTCTTACTTTGAGACAAAATCTCATTAAGTTACCTAGACTGGGCTTGGACTTGCAGTCCTCCTGCTTCAGCCTTCCGAGTACCTGCACTGCACTTGTGTGCCACCAGGCCTGTCGCAAGCACCAATCTGTATCTTAAACCTTTAGTATTTGAAGAAAAAAAAAAAAGAATAGAAGAAAGGGCTGGATGAGAAATAAGTTGTTGTTGGTGATCACAGAGACTCAAGTTACTTACAAGCCGCGAGGGCACGGGTCCTAGTGTGCTGTGCCAGCATTAGCGGAACTGTCTTCTCTGTGGAGATATTCAGCAGGAGACTAGGTCTGTCCTGAGGCAGGCCACATGAGTACATGAGAGAAACTGGCTGGGGACTGTGGCGAGCCGGGGGCTGAAGCCCCAAGTGAAACAAGCCTCCGCTTTCTGGTTCCAGCGGCACATAGAAGTGTGTTCCTGGCATTGCTTATTAGTTGAGCTTTTCAAAAGCAGGTAGAACTTGGGAACTTTATGTGAAATTTCCACATTTTTGGACCCTACTGGCCAAAAAAGTGTCTGCAGGCAGAATTCAGCCCACAGGCTACCAGTTTTTGCCTAATGTTCTATAGGAAGTTTCTGCATTGAAAATTTCCCCTGAATTATTTATAATGTTCCTTCTTCTTCTTTTTTTTTAAAAAAATTTTATTTATTTATTTATTTATTTATTTATTTATTT